GAGTAGAGTGGGTCGAAATGAATTAAAACGACGAACAAGACCATCCCATGTTTGCCTGAGAACACTCATTTCTTTAGAACAGATTTCTGGAAAATTGCGTCAAAAGGTTTGAACATGCCGGTCCGCAACCTCGAGAGGAAGGACAACGGTGGCCTGGGTTGCGGCTTCCGTAAAACCTAACGGCGTCGGCCACTGCAAGTACCACCAGGCTTGCAGTGTTGCGGGAAGGCAGAGTAACACGGCGGGTGTGGTGTTGCTATCTTTTGGACAGATTAATTGTTACAGAAACATGAAAAATTGAGATTCTTCTTTTACTCTTCCGATTGCACCACCAGATCCCAGCACCACTTCGCGGTGGTTTAAGGGCCAATCCGTCCTTATCATCAGTCTAAGAATAGCGCACGTGAAATATGCGCCCGGGCTGCTTTCTAAATGCACGATTTGATGTCCTGAACCTTTCACAAGTACTTTTTCCCGAAGTGTTATCATTTTTGTCCACCCCTTGGCCAGGGCTCAATATAAACTGCTAGACCGACGCCGCGCGGCCTAAGGAGACTACAGCGCCTGGCTTCGAGGTTTTTATTACTAAGGTTTACGAGCGCGCATGCTCAAAATTATGTCACATAATTCGCATTACTAGCCGTTTAAAATGTTCAAAGATAATTATTTCGAAAGCGTCATCATTTTCTCCTACCGATGGGCCACGGCGAAAAATTAGCCGCTGGGATGAGGTGCCACGGACTGGAGACTGCAACGCCTCGTGTGAAGGTTTTTGTTGCTAAGATTCGGGAGCGCGCATGTTAAACAACCACGTTACATTAATTGTAGCACTAATAGATTCTGACTGAATGTTAGATATTTCCAGACAAACGTGGCGTGGCCATGTTAATACTCATTGTTGACCACTCGGTCTACAATCAAATTTTCATCTTCAAATTTCGATCAAACATATTCATCTACATCCTTCCTTCGCGATGTACTTAATGTCTGAAGAACCCACATAAAAATTCGTCGAACTTCGCCTCCCCATAAAAGACAACGTTGAAGTGGACGAATCATCCTGAAAAGCTGGATAGCCTTATTTGCCGAATAACATATATGAGTAGAATAGGCAAGATCGTGCACTAGTGAGAAACAGCTCTAGATGCACATCTAGGGCAGCAGCGATGACATTTGAATAAAGAGCGGTAACAACCTCTACCTATATTCTCCCCCCCCCCCCCAGTCATCAGCCTTGCTTTCCAGAAAACTAGAAAAAGTTCCTGAAGTACGCCCCGAGCTTGCTCCCCACCCCCTCCCCCTTTTGAAACGTTCCTACGCCTATGACTGAGACACAGGAACGTATGCACTCCTAGTCGTTTTGTCGCAGCTCGACGGCGTAAGGCCTGAGCGTACGGGCCGCCGCGCTCTGTCTAGGACAATACCTGGACCCCCTAATCGATCATATTTGGTGCCATAAGTCAATGGCAGTTTGGGCCAGAAGTTTGAGATTTGGCTCAAAGTAGTCAGCATTAGAAATCTTCTAGGGGGTTTTGGCAAATACAGCCAAAATAAAGTAGACAGTTGCTAAGTCATTGGGTGCACCAAAGGTTTCCGTACGGGGGGGGGGGGGAAGGTGTAAACATCAAGTGTTTGCCGCACCATTGCCCCTTCCCCTTCCACAGTTTCTACCCGGCTTTGATATTGCATTTTTCATCCCATTCTCACCAAACCCTACCCTCACAAGTAAACTGTCCAATGATAGAGGGAACTTCCCATTCTTTTGTCAGCATCCCTTTTGAGAGATGCATCGTTTTAAAGCCTACGTTCATGGAAACTTATTCTGTTATTTGCTCTATAACTGATGACAACAAGTAACACAGCAAAACAAATAAAAAACTTTGAGGTTTTTGGATAAAGCATGCTTGGCTAGCCTATCTAAAGCTGATGGCTTAGCGTGTATAGTGAAAACATGTTCCCTCCTGCAAAATCAGTCAGCTGCCATTCTACGCAGAAGATAAATTACAGTGCAAATTGAAGCTGCTCACGTTTGCACACCGTCCTTAACTTTGATCACCAACAAAATTAGAACGTATTTTCGAATTTCAAATTTCACAAGAAAGCCAGTCATCGATTTGGTCGAGGTTTGTATTGATCAGAGCCATCAGGCTGAAATAGCATTAAAAAATGTACTGATCCGTGAGAAGCGCGTGCACACTAGCTTTCATTAGCGTACCATTGAATGACACTGCTCCCTACGTGGAGCTGAATGTGACAACATTTTACAGGACGACAATGGCCTCCAATCACCTGGGGCTGGAGTACTTTTTATTCATCACTGCCTGCGCGTCAAGTTGTCGCCTGGTTTCGAATAGCGACACACCGTCCGCACGTACAGTCTCTAATGCGGCTGCAGTCAGCTTTGTCGTAGCACGTATCGCAACGGACTTATGAATCTCGACCAAGATGGCAGAAAATGAAATATCACTGCCGAGGTGACATACCACACACCAAAAAAGCAAGACCAAGTAAAGCGAACACAGGTAAGCCGCCTAAATTTGACAGACGCTTTCCCCAAATAAACAAAGCACGACACAATTGAAGTGCAGGCCAAGAAATAATCCAAAATGAAGAGTTATTTGCATGCAGATTGCGCTTCGAGGAACTCGGACCGTCTCGTCGCATGTAATGCAGAAAACTCTGTGGTCTTGTCTCTCCTAATTCAAAAGCCTCTGGTGGTGAGTCACCGAAACTTGATATTCTTCCTCCGTGGCACCTATCCCACGGAGGCACTATAACACTCAGCGATTGTGCCGGAATTTTTATGGGTTGTATAGACATTGTGAATGTAGATGATAGTGAACATAGACTGCGTATCGAAATGTGATCATAACGTTACACTGACCCGGCTTACCCACGCGTGTCTGGGAATTTTAACCTTTGTTCAGAATCGACTACCAAAAAATCGCATTGCATGATTTGGACCATGCGCGCTCACAAGCCTTAGAACAAACACCCCGATTGCCGGCATTGCAGTCTCCGTAAGTCGTGCGCTGTCGTCCTTGCGGCACACGTTTGATGGTGCCCAGGGGCCGGATGAAAACGATAGATAGTTTCAATAGAACGGTGGATGGTTTTTCAAGGAAGTGCCTTTGAAAAGTTTGCGATGTCAATTTGTACGTTTAGAAGGTGGTCGAGAAGCACGCTTCACATGAACAGTTTTAACTTTGTGATAGGAATGCATCAGCATTCATAACACTGCAAGCCACTGCTGGAATTTTATGGCGAAACTGCATAACTGAATGTATAATGTCTATTTGTGTGCTGCTGCCAATGTTTTTCTGTTGACATGACACCCTTAAAATTACACAGGTGAAATATGCGCCCCAGCCTCGCTTTAGAATGGCTCGAATCGATTTTGGAAGACTTTCGGGAGCATTATTTCACGACGGTTGCTCTCGCACATCAGGCGCCTGCCGCCCGGTGTTGCTGTAACGTCCAAGGTCGCTCATGGTTTTGCAGAGAGTGCTGCCCCAGACACCAGTGTTCTTGCTGCAAGACTGCGAGCACGCAGGCTAAAACTTTCGTGTAATTTGTTTCGCATGCTGGCTCAGAGCAAGGATAGCTGTCCTCTTTGTGTTGACCTTTTTGTTTTGGCTTTATTTTGATTCGTATCATTAATCGCTCGAAACCCCTTACCTTATCGGGGCGGGGCGTTTGGTGGATAGAACACCACGGAGGCAGATATTTTCCGCTCAAGGGCTAAAGGACCATTGCTTCCCAGTGCGAAGTGCCTGCCGGCTGCCATGCTGGCGACACATGGGCGTGGTGCTCTGGTCGATATGGAAATTCTTAGAAGGATCAATCATGCATTGGTCGCCATGCGGGAAATGGAGCTTAGGGCTCAGAGCCATACGAAGCTGACTGCTCGGTGTTGGTGGTCCGTGGCCAAAATAGAGGCTCGCATGGTTCCAAGACGTCTCAGTGCAAAAGGCTCTCTGATATTTGAAGGCCCGGCCCTGCGGACCAGGGCCCTTAATGTGATCTACGGCCAGCCCTTCGTCCTTCTCAATCGGGCGCCTGATCGTCGGTCCCGAGGGGCCTTTCGGGCCGCTCTGTGAACCCCTTGGAACACTGGCCCCAGCCGACTCTAGCCTCCTTGCCAATACAAGACCCGTGTTAGGCATCGTGATCCCCTGGCCGACACGGAGGGCTCCTCGTGGACTCAGGCGCCCCGATCGATGTAAATCGCGGACCTCGGTCTCATCCTTGCTTGGGATCTTTGGGACTCTAGGAACCTCTACTTCTGGACCCGACGCCGAAATAATCCGATGGCGAATCTGTCGCATGTCTTGGTCGTTAAGCCTCCAGCACAGGAGACGTGCCTTCGTAAAATAGGATTGGGGGGATTGGGAGGCTAATGGAGAAAAATCTAGCCCTGAATGCATCAAAATTATCCTTAGATTTCAAACACTTCCCTCTCAACTTTATGCAGTAGGACCCCCCCCCCCCCCCTCTTCCCCAACTGAATAAGAAAGTGCAGCCCTGCTTTTATGTGTTTCTTCGCTCTGTTTCTGTGGAAGATGTTGTCTTTGGGCATCACTATCTTTTTGTTTGGCATTTGTCAAAATCAGGTTTTAGCAGTCGACATTGGGGAGATGTTATGTGTGGTTTCAGACGTTGGTGAACGTGGTGTAAAAGGTATAAGCAGGTGATGTGCGCGACTATTAAAGCCTGCCATGGAAACTCTCTTCTGGTAGTTCGAAGGCGAGTCGCAGGCTGCGTCGCAGCACTCGCGTTAGGCATGTTAGGCATGGTTTGCGTTGTTTTGGTGATCAGTATTGGACGATAACCGCCATCGGTTCAGTCGGCTGGTGTTAATCGTCAGGTTTTCGTAACTATTTCATGAAATATTCACGTTGAAGTGAAGGTCGGCTCACTTGAAATGCTTTTTTTTCCGAACGTAGACGGACTGATAACTTGGTCGCATTTCTTCGTGCTAGCATTCGACCGGTTTGTTTTCATTCTCCCGATAAGATATTGTGATGAAACAGCGTGTGTTGTCTCAGACTAGAACTTGAAACACCGCTGAATTAGACTAAAACATTAAGACAAAAGCGCAAAACCAGGCCAGAGGCAACAAGGCATGTCAATCGTGTATCAAAAACATTAAGCATGCAGAAAAACCCAGAAAATCATCAATAATAGTGGCGCGAGCCGCTTTATATCAACTAAAGCCGCTTGTATCAACTAAAGTCGCTTATATCAACTGCAGCCGCTTGTATCAACTTAAGCCGCTTATGTAAACTGAAGCCGCTTATATCAACTGAAGCCGCTTAGGTCAACTGAAGCCGCTTTATATCAACTGCAGCCGCTTATATCAACTAAAGCCGAACCGCCCAATAACCAGCTAAAACGACGCGAGCGCGGAGCTTTAAAAGCGTAAGTAGTTCAACCAGCTGCACTCAACTGAATATGACATTGCAGTTTTCGTTCCTTGTTCCTTTTACTTGTGATCTAATAAGCAGAGATCTTCTTTGGAAATCTTCAATATGATTTTTAGCTTTCATTTTTGACGTCCTGCTTGTCCTTAGGCTCCAGAAGGTTGCGGAACCAAGCTCGCCGTTAGGCCGGCCACATTGGATACGGGGGAGAGGAGGGTGGCCCACCCAAAAATCGACATCTGTGATAGCAAGACATGCCAAACTGGCGCATACTGACACACCACAACTCAAAAGAAGACCAATCAAAACGCGGCGCACACATATAAGCAAATTAAAGCAAATCAATCAGTGAGACCCTCTCAGCAATATTCCGGGCAGGCCACAGCAAGCTGACACACCTGTGCATGTTTTAGTGCTCACACCTCCGCTCTGTCAGTCCTGTCACATTTCCCACAACGTCGAGCACTGCCTGCATGTCCCACACACCGACGGGCGCGACAACGATTCCTGCATTGCACAAATACATATTGGCTTCCATTCACACTTACCACCAACGGCTGGTGGAGGTGGGTTCAATAACGACGCCCGGTTCCCTCATCGCAGTGAGGGTCGCAGAGCCACGGGGTCCTCCCTGCTCGCAGTCAGGGTCGCAGAGCCACGGGTTCCTCCCTGCTCGCAGTCAGGGTCGCAGAGCCACGGGGTCCTCCCTGCTCGCAGTCAAGGGTCGCAGAGCCACGGAGTCCTCCCTGCTGGCAGTCAGGGTCGCAGAGCCACGGGGTCCTCCCTGCTCGGCAGTCAAGGTCGCAGAGCGACGGGGTCCTCCCTGCTGGCAGTCAAGGTCGCAGAGCCACGGGGTCCTCCCTGCTGGCAGTCAAGGTCGCAGAGCCACGGGGTCCTCCCTGCTCGCAGTCAGGGTCGCAGAGCCACGGGGTCCTCCCTGCTGGCAGTCAAGGTCGCAAAGCGACGGGGTCCTCCCTGCTCGCAGTCAAGGTCGCAGAGCCACGGGGTCCTCCCTGCTGGCAGTGAGGGTCGCAGAGCCAGGGGGTCCTCCCTGCTGGCAGTGCGGGTTGCAGAGCCACGGGGTCCTCCCTGCTCGCAGTCAGGGTCGCAGAGCCGGGGGTCCTCCCTGCTGGCGGTCAAGGTCGAAGAGCCAGGGGGCCCTCCCTGCTGGCAGCGAGGGTCGCAGAGCCAGGGGCCCTCCTGTTGCAGTAGTGCTGTCAGCCCTAACCATTAGCTGAGCCAGGGGAGCCGGTATAAGAGCTTTGAATTCATAACGCAGAAAAACAGGGGCTTTTCTTTTTCTTTCATACTTTCTGCGTCGAGAAAAGTCGAAATGCCTTTCTTTCTTATATCAAAACAGAATGTGAGCAGGCCGTACACGCGAATCAGGTCAGAACAAAGATTTGCTTGGATTTACCTGCGTAAATGTCTTCTTCCTGGTCGGCAGGTTTTACGGAGCGTCCAGGGCACGCGGTACCTCTTGTGGGTCGCCGCACCAGTTGTGAAGGCACGATAGTAGTCGGGTGGACCTCGGTTCCACGGGCTCCGGCTCTCAATGAAGAAATGCCTCACCAACTGTCTGTACTGGATCTGTCCGACTGCCGCTACTCACGGCTTTTCAACACTTAAAGCCGTCTACCCCGGTACGCCTACCGGACGGCGTTTCTGTCCACCGGGCCGCAAAGTACCGTGCGCCCAGCAACGCCCGATCGCACCACTGCTCGCTTATTCCGACATCTGGTGACACTGCCTCGCCACACCACTCAGAGTCGAGGCTCACGCTCCACGCACGTCCTCTGGGGACACTGCCTCGCCACACCACCCGGGGTCGAGGCTCACACTCCATGCACGCCACACGCGCCGCAGCAGACACGACCGATCATCTCAAGATACACATGACGGTGCCCAGTTACAATTTGGGGTGACGGAGAAGGCGCACCGAGAATGTACTGGCATAAGAGAGTAAGAGGGGGCTCATGATGAACGACAGCAGTTGCTTTACGGTTTATGTATCCACACCAAGGAGGAGCTTAACTACGCTACACCTCAATGGTTGCTGGATATTTTCGTTTAAACAGCTCTTCCTGACAATTTACGGAAGTGTTGTGAACAGGGGGACACATAATATGTACGTGAGAGTATACGTTAGTATTCCAGATATATAAGCCCCTCAAGCGATTGGTATTGAGACTCAACATCGGTATGCACTACATTTTGAATTAGGCGTATAGTCACGCTAATATTTTCTGTTCGGGCAGTGCCTGAACCACCCAGTTACGCTCGCTAGAATCGCATTGCACGCGATATGCTGAGCGTTGGTTTCTGCTCCGCACCACGCGCGCACCGAATCTGGAGCTGACGTGGAACCGACATCGGCGACTGTGGTATCTGGAAAAATTGATCACCTTGCTTTTGGGATGTTGGGACATTCCTGGCTGGATTACAAACCCGAGATATCACTTTTGAACGGAGCTTGGAACATTAAGAATGCATGAATGCCACTCGCCCAGGTTTCAAATGTTCAACATCGTATCTCCTCCACTATTGACACTGCAGGAGCCTCGAGCAACCCCTCGATGTGCGGCAACCAATTTGTCAATCACCACCTGGTGCATTCAACATGTCAACATCGCCGGCGACCCGGGAGATCGTCCTGAGAGCTCCACCCTTGAAGCTGTTTTTCGACGTCAAGAAGAAGTCGTTTTTCCCATGGAAATCATCAAATCGCTGCAGAAGGCACCGGATACGGTGAGTCCTGTCCCATCGTCCCCTCTCCATCATGGCACCCCGTTCATGTCACTCGACACATGGTATTGTGCGCTTTGACAATGGCAAGTGGGGTAAATGCAGGCGCACACATGAATAATGTGCAGTGCGCGTAGACTTTGCAGAGGTCCGTGGGGATATGTGACAGGATCCGCAGTGATCCCCTGCAAGTGTTCGTTTCAACCAGCCGAAAAAATTATATTTTTAGCATATGGTAAGAGAGGCAAAAAACTTGAAAGATGTTTAACAGAAAGGAGCTTATATCTGCTCAACAATAACCCATAAAGAGCGCCAGGGTTTACACGGAGTCCCCGATGCTTTCCAACCCAAGAAAGTGGACGTTTCAGTTGTACTACAGAACAATGTTTTATGACTCCTCCCTGTACTCGACACAATACTAGCAATGAACTTTCATCTGCTGCGTCCATGCTCGTGACATACGGTGGCACCGTAGCCAAACAGCGGTCTTGCGCAGATGTGAAATTAATGCGTCAAGGAACAGCCCAAGGGAGGAGCTGTCGTCCGGGGATATCTTTGACCCGATGGTAACCAGGCGCTGCTGATGATCTATGCCCAGGATGGCAGAAATGCACAGTCTGCTACCGATGGCTCTGGCGTCGTTCCCTGGCAGCGGAAATACCTGGACCCGCTACCTCATCGAGGCCGCCACCGGCGTCTTCACCGGCAGTGTGTACCGCGACCAGGGCCTCATGTCCAAAGGTGGGGCGCTGCCACTGAGTCGTGCGGCAAATTCGAAAACCACCCGGCTGCGCGCGTGACTTATGAGGTGGCATGTCAGATAGACGCCGGCAGGCAGACCGCCTAACATCATGCACGCCTCTCCCCTGCCCGGCAGGCTTCTACGGCGAGTTTGAGGCCCAGTCTTGTGGCTGCACTCTGCTGATGAAGACGCACGGCTACACCCTGGGGTCAACGCCATCCCCAAAGCAACGGTTGGTCGAGGTCGCCCGCCACGGACGTCGGGCTGTGCTGCTCGTGCGGAACCCGTACGAGGCGTTCCTCGCCTACCGCAACTTCATGAAGGGCGGCCACTTGCGCTATGCCCCGGACAGCTACTTCAGTGGCAGTGGTGTGTCACGTTCTCGCCGGCTGAGAGATTCGTGCGTTCTCTTAGAGGTTCTGAGTGCTCTCGCCAGCTGTCAGCGTTCATCTATGCCAGCTGACGTCGACCCGATGATTAATGAGTTTATGTTGTTTGAATACTTTATTCTATGTTACCAATATATTTTTTTATGGTTTCCGCGATTATTGCACCGTTCACCACTTAACTGGTGAGTCGGCACCCAAGTGGACGATTGTCAGGTGTTCTATACATGATTACCGAGCTTGCCATCATTCGATCATTTGATTGTGTGTAAATGATTATCTATTGTTATGATTACCGTGATCATCGTACCGTTCACCACTTTTCTGGTCAATCAGAGCAAAGTGCACAGTTGTTGCGTGTCAAGAGATGTTTTTGCTCAGGCCAATGCAGATGTTGCGGCCGATCTTGAAATGGATTAGCATGAACATCCACAAAACAAAATGTGCTTGCGTGAACAGAATAGGCCCCATACGATGCAGACATAAATTCTCGAGCTTGTTGCAGGTTGGAATTCCTACGTGACTCAGAAGGCGACTCTTTGGCGCAACTTCAACATCGACTGGGTCAACCTCACTACCTCTGTGCACGTTATTCACTATGAGGACCTCAAACAGGACCCTGTTCGGGAGATACGGGACTTCTTGCGGTGAGTAGGTTCTGCTGGCGGAGGTGGTATTCCGTGGCCGACAGCTGCATGTCTTTATACGGTGGCAGGACGGCAGTGCGGGGCAACTTGTCTCCCGCATGTGCGGGACTTCGATCGGCAACCTGGCATTGATGTCAGGGCGGTGCCCCGTGCCCGAGAGACAGAGAACGTTGGTCGGTGGGTTGTCTGAATGATGGACGGAATCACACGTTCAAGAGGCACGGAAGTATATCAACAACATGGGGCGGGGGGGGGGGGGGATCGGACGATTTCCTTACCCTCGGTCCTGAACTGACCGAATGGATGTATGTTTGCAGCACAAAGCGTGAAAAATAGAGGAATTTGGACGAGTCCGGATTGTTCCCAGCACACGAGTCCAGATTGTTCCCAGCACACGAGCCCGGATTGTTTCCAGCTGACTCGGAGGGCTCTGCTCTTGCCGGGGCCGGCATGTGCTACCGTCGTTGTGGCGTCCTACTTCTCTGGTAGCGTCGCCGAAAACGATCGCTGAGGCTTATGCCGATTGCTACGATCTATTTCTCCACAGCTGTTCAAACACGGCATAAGCTCAGTTTCCTTCATTCCATTGTCATCATAGGCATGCTGGCATTATATATATATATATATATATATATATATATATATATATATATATATATATATTGGGCATGCACAGTTGTAAGGACGGTCTCTACCACTACATATCAACACATGGCCCATTCTTGTATAAGCTTTGCAGAACGCCGCGATCGGTCGAGCACGGATTTATATCAGGCTCATCAGAAACGTCCAACGCTTCGTATGTGCATTTTTTAAAGCAATACACGCGACCGTCCGTGCTGTGCGTCTGACCAGATAAACGTGCATTGACAGACGAGCGCTTGGAAGGTAGTAAATCAGGTGCCAACCGTATTAAGTTATCGGCTGGTTTCCATGTTGTCACAATTAAATTATGCCGATCTCGACTTTTTATGTTTTAGTTTTACTTATATCCCTTTCGACTTCTTGTCCTTCGCCGTTCTCCGATTCGACTTTAAGCCATGTCGCTGTCTGTCCCTTTGGACTTCATGGTCAACGTTTGTGCCCTTCTATCTTTACTTCATTTGACTCTTCCCCTTCGGATTTTTCCATTCGATTTTGTTTAGATCCAGAAAAGGCGTCACGATGGCGGTGTAGGTCAGAGCTCTCCAAATTTTCTCAAGTTCCATTGTGGAAGAATTTCGTAGATTCCGCGAGTCCAGTCACGATCATACGAATGCTACAAACATGGTTGTAACACTCACGCTCATCTAAGTATATATATATATATATATATATATATATATATATATGCAAATATGTTTATATAAGCGCGGGTATATATGTAGATATATATATATATATATATATATATATATATATATATATATAGATATACACACACATATATTCAGCATATACGTTCCCAGTTGCGACAGTTTAGTATCGTCCAGCCAAATGCGACGCGGGGTTCGCAACAACAACGGCTGAAACTCGATCAGCGTCAGACACACTGGGAAGGGCAGCCGCGGCATTTCTTTGTCATGGTTTTCAGCCCTCTGTTGATGCGTGAAGCCACAACGTGACATGATTGCTGTTTGCTGACGGGGTCGCACTTCGGAGATGGGTTTGGCATGGTTATTATGTTAATGCTGAAGTGGCGCAAATACTATGGGTCTACAATCAGGTGCATATGGTCATAATTTATTTCAAGACATCAGTAACAACTGGGATTAGACTGAAGCGGCCCGTTGTAGCACGCATACGAGAATGATAAGGCATGCAAGATTTTGCGATGCAAATTTGATGTGGCGTTTGTAAGAATTAATAAGGTATGCGACACAACGTTTGTGCCGCTTATGAAGTTCAAATGGATTAAGACAGGCATATTACAGTAGTCACGTTTAGACGGTTTGCAATAGTTTGCATGATCGGGGACGATTGGAACCACATCAATATTTTTGTCCGCACCAATGGCGTAGTGTTTGATGCAGGTGTTGCTATGGCAACGCCCGCACGGCGTGTGATATTCGTCGCCATTGCGACGCACTCAGCTGCTGAGCCTGTGCGGCATCGCGTGTCTCTCACCCTGGCAGGAGGGCGGGCACCACGGGAAATGAAAGCTTTGGTTTCCAAATGCGTGCCTTTATCATACACTACCGGCACCCACGTGTGTGATTTCACGGAAGGGGCTGGGATTGGCTCGGGGACATTTAGGGAATGTTACGCATTAAGGTCAGCTCCCACTACTCTCCGGCAAATTGCGCAATTTGGATGTTATTTGTTTTGGCATCGAGGGATGTAAAAATCGGATCTTGCAAGTGAGAGTGGATGGGGTAATGCCCATCTTTTGGGCACCCTAACTTTCGACAGTTGTGAGATGCAGAATAATGCCATGTCGTTGTCACGCTCAAGAACTTCTGCCATTGGGCGCTTTGAACTGATGTCACGTCTAACGACACATTACGTGGGGAGGGGGCAATGTCATCTGGTAGCAACAAATTACCCGTGTGCACGGCTATCACATCAATTTGGCAGCAAGGGCGACGGACACCTCCTGGCGGTTATGACGCTAGAGAAAAAGGAACGTAATAGGAACCTATCAGGGGCGTAGCTTCGCAAAATGAGTTGGCAATGTTGAGCAGTATATCAATCCATGACAACATAATTTCCTGCCTATTCCAAATCAGGGGACTATTTTGTGTTTTATCTTTATATATGCACAAGTCATAGAAAGCAAATGCATGTCACAAACTTTGGTAATGATCTTTGACGCGAAAGATCTCCGAAAAGACCGGATATTTTACCAAAACACTTCCTATTTTGCAGGAGCGCTTTGAAATGCCAGTGCATACATGGGTGGAACCAAAAACAAAAAGCATACAGCTCGTCCTTAAAAACCAATCGACCAATCGTTTTTACACCACCACCGACCAGTGTGTGGGGTGGCAATGTGCTAATCTGATCTGACCTAATCTGACCCAGCTTAAACTACCGTGACGCCCTTGGGTGATCTCAACCTGGGTCAAACATTTTAAAAAGCGTGTTAAAAACACTGCGAACTACACTACACAATTATGTGCCATAATTGATTTACTCTTGCAGTCACAAAAATTATTAACCCTGATCAGGCCAAAAGACGCTCATTTTGCCACATTCCAAAATTCTTGCTTGCGGAGATCTCGGTTCTCAGAGCGCCTCTGTGCGATCGTCATAAAAGTTTTATAATTTGATGTGGCATGATTCATTTTCTCCTGAACTTTTCAAAATAAGGACCCTGGGTCGGTTAACGAATCGTCATCTTCACTACATTCGTAGACTTTTGCTAGCGAGCACTTCAGTTCTCTGAATTTATCCTTGGTATTGTCACTTAACCTAGACCAAAAGTTGTCTATTTTTCCAAAAGTCTAAATTTTTCCTTACAGACAGCGCAGTTCTCGCAACCTATTCGTGTGATCGTAACAGAACCGTCACCTTCATGTGTGCCAAAGTGAATTCCTTTTTTTCAAATGGTTGCGCGATGGTGTCCGGCAAGATGCTCACTGATTGCGATTGCCCAACCATGCCACCAGAAATGTCCCAGCGGATCAATCCTGCGTGCAGGTCCTCATGGGACGAGTTCTGTATACAGGAATGATCGTCTTTCTGCCTTCTTCCAGGTTCATCGGTCTTCCAGAGGACGAAGAAAGACTGAACTGTGTCACAATGAATCACGATGGGCAATTCAAGCGAAAGGCCTCCAACCAAGTGTTCAACAAGAGGTGAGAGCATGGGATCAGCGACTGGAGCGTTGGGCGCTAAAACACTGGCATTGTGAAATGTCCGCAGTCATGTCGAAAGGCTCCAATGATTATGAATTCCATTGAATGAAGCAGATCTTGTCGACCGTATCTGAAGTGCAACACTTTGACTTAGCCATTCTTGCTCTTGGATTTGAATGACGGCCGAAGAAACGGTCTGTATGCTACACTCGACACATTTTGTTATGTTTGCTTCCTTCAAACCGCACTAACTTGACCCTGTCACCATTTACGCACGGATACCGGCACTTGTCTCGAAGGTAGTGGCAACAGATGCAGCTGATCTCATTCGTTCGGACTCACTTAACGCAGCTCTATGCAAGTGAGTCAAAACTTTGTCCCGCGCCAGACTGGTCTCACTGACCGCTGTACAGTAGTGCGTCTACTACACTTAACCCTTACCCAATATCTACTGTGTCACGCGTGACTGCGCGGTCTGGGCGGTGTCTGCGGGGGGGGGGGCATTGTCCCCCAAAAGCTCGCTCGTGGCCACGCCACCGGTGCTGCCACAGATCACCGTGCCGTGACCATGCCCTCCTCACCGCAGGGACGTGTTCACTCCGGCCTTACACGCGCAGCTGGACGCAGCCATCGATGCCCTCCAGGCTCAGCTGCTGGCGCGTCGCCTGCGACCCATGCCGCTAGCGCGCTACAAGTACTACCGCACCAGCACCGCGACTGGAAACTAAACGCTGACGCTAAAAGCACTTGGAACATGATTCGTGGCTGGACCATGATCCGGACACGAAGAAGGGTACAACTTTGCTGTCCATGTGCGCCTTTGCCAGACTTGTGCCTGGTTCCCAAGATTTCCCAAGAAAATACTGGTGTGAACTGTGAGACATGGTGTTTAAGTATTCATGACATGTTGGTATTTCTGTTGGTTGCCAAAGAGCTCATGGGAACCTGGAGCTGGTATTGACAGAAAAGCAAGGGAAACTGGGAGCTGAAGCCAGTGCTTACAAAATAACTAATGGGAACCAAGATACAGGTCTTGTGTTGTGGAAAGAAGCAGTGGGAACCAAGATCCAGGGTTTTGTTTTGTACAAGAACCAATGGGAACCATGATGCAGCATAATGTTTTGCCAAAAGATCCATTGGGAACCAGGATCTAGGGTTTTGTTTTGTCGAAAGAAGCACCGAGAACCAGGATCCAGGGTCTTGTTTAGTTGAAAGAACTAGTGAGAACCAAGGGAACCAAGATCCAGGGTTTTGTTTTGTACAAGAACCAATGGGAACCATGATGCAGCATAATGTTTTGTCAAAAGATCCATTGGGAACCAGGATCTAGGGTTTTGTTTTGTCGAAAGAAGCACCGAGAACCAGGATCCAGGGTCTTGTTTAGTTGAAAGAACTAGTGAGAACCAAGATCCAGGGTATTGTTTTGTCAAAAGAACCAGTGGGAACCAAGATCCAGGGTTTTACTTTGTCGAAAGATCCAGTGGGAACCAGGATTTAGGGTCTTGCTATATCAAGAGAACCAGTGGGAACCAAGATCCAGCATCTTGTTTTGTCGAAGGAACCAGTGAGAACCATGATCCAGCATCTTGTTTTGTCGAAAGAACCAGTGGGAACCAGGAACCAAGATTAGGAACCAGGCACATGTCTGGCCCTTGGTAGTTTCTTTGCTGCTTGAAATGCCGCTACGGAAAGTGCTAGTGCTGGTCACGTAGTAGTTATAATTGCCGTCGTAATAACGACGGTGAATGTTCGCGTCATCACGTCCTGCTGAACACAATGTGGAGGAATGTGTTATCCGCGTGTCGTTGAATCTGTGAGTTGTCTTCAGTTCAGTATTAGTGTTCCAACGAAGTTTGGAAAGGACCGCATCAGCCTGGCGAGGTGGGAAGCGCCAAGATGTAGGTCGTGCCGATGCTGGTTCGACTGACAAGCACTTGGTGTGTTTAGTGCTAACGGGGTGTGGGCAAATGTTGCCCGCACGGGAGGCGCCCACGTGCGACTGAGCTGCTCAAACAAGCGTTTGATGGCATTATGAGTCAGCTTATGCTTCAGGTAATTTGGCGTGTGCAGCCACATGTTCGGTGTTTCGTGATTTAAAGTGACAGTTCGTCCTCGTCGCCAGGGTAAAAAGTGCAAATATATTATGGTGTTGCTGGCGGTCCCACCTCAGGCGCATCGTGTGCTCGGGTCGCATGACGGTCAAAGATCGTGGTGCTTGGGTCGTAGGCGTATTGAAACCTCCAGAGTTCATAACTTCCGATGGTCAGAACGCCCAAAATCGCAGTATGCAGCGTTTGTAACATCCAAAAATCGTATTATGTCCTTGGACAACATCCAAGCTCGCAACATCAAATATCGCCAAATCCGAGGTTCATAACAACAAGCTCACATAACATCCAGCGTTCGTGGCGTCCAAAGATTTAGATATTGTGTCCCTTCCTGGTAAATCTTAAACTATTGGTTTCGTTATTGCTCGGTACCGGGATACGGTACCCCATCGTGCCCTTCTATGCCGACGAGTGACGTCACGCGTTGCAGTGATGCCCAATTAAACCAGCGTGTATGAACATGGGCAACGTTGTGTGTATACGCGCAAACTTCGCCGTGTCGGCACGCATTTGATAGCAGACGTATTAACGAATTCAAGGCATTCATACCCAGCCCCTGCCTCGAAGGTCTTTGCTTGATTCAGCACAAGCCGTTCGATCGTCGTGGAAGGCTCTTGTCGGGCTACCTGCAGCTATTTTATTGCGGGATGTGAATACAATCATCTGCGGCGTTTGGCTCCCTCGCTTGATATATTTTGCGTTGGTAATGTTTGACAAATCATGCTGTTGTTGGAATTGGTGCCTGATGGAAAGCCATCTTAGTTGTGAGAAATCTATGCCTGGGCCTCATATTCATTTGGTACGTTTCAGAGGTCACCGCTTAGTGGAAAAGACTAGAACCTTTTTGAGACCCGAGGTCGTAGCACCTGTGGGTGATGCAATTTTTGTTGTTTCATTTGCATGTTTCGGTAACAAATATGATGGAAAATGAACAGCGCAGAAGGCGGGGGCTGGCCCATCGCAGCATGCACCACAGCACTCACCATTGCCCCAAATACCAGTGCCAAGTGCCAAGTAGATACGCTCAAGGCGGTAAGTCACATCTCAGATCCCATCAACTTACTCCAAGCATTACGATGTCGTACTATCGTATGCCGTATCGTCGTCGTCGCATGCCGGGAAAGCGTCCTCTCTCTCTGTCATCGGATAGGAGGCCCCCTTTCTTAAAATCTTTCTGCAGGAGAAAATGTATTCTTCGTTCATATTTGCTGATCCCTAATTTTTCACTCCTCAACATTTATCACAACTAAGACCCTTCACATCAGCAGGATTTCATTGCTATAAATGCTAGCACGATACTACTAGAACCAAAAAACGGCTTGGGGCTTTTCTCCCATATTGGCCGAGTACATTCAACGGCTTTATGTTCCGTGCCTTTAGTTCAAAGCCGGATTAGGAGGTGATTGGAGTATGTTGCGCTTGCATCCCTTGGATGTGGCATTTTTAGTCGAAAGGTGTAACTGATGCTAAATTACATGGTACGTACTACGATACAAAATCCTCTGTTCCCCAGGTGCAGGTACTAATTTCATACGCTCTCGTCGGTGCCTATCACATATCATCACCACTTCCACCGTCGTGTTTCTGCAGTAGCTTAAGAACGCAAAAAGACGTGCCCCTGTATATTTGTGCATCTTGTCTGTTCATTGCCAGCCTTGAAATAGTTTGTATTTAAGTACTTTGCACACATTATATTTTCCTGACTCATTACTGTACTGGAGTAACAGCTTGAAAGACAACTGAGTTTGAGCCAGGCTCGGCAGGGGCTGCAGAAATCCGTCCCCTTATTGTTTCCGGGGTTTAGCAAAAAAAGGTTGAGTGGGGTGACGCAAATCTGTAGTACCCTTTTATGCATCCATTTGCACCCAGGGGGAGGGGAATAATTTTAAAGCTCCAAGCAGGTTAATGCCCTAGCCGAGGTCGGACTCAGGCCATAGTAGACAATTATAAAAAAACATAATTTGTTTACGTATGGAGGGACTTGGTGAACATTGAAGAATAGCCCGATCTGCGTAGACATGTACATTTGCTGGTTTGGTTTAATCTTTAAGCATGCTGTGGTCTTATAACTTGTAGCAAAATGGCTTTCGCCGATTTTTTCAGCATTGGCTGAGTGGACAGGTACGAGCCAGCCCTAGAACATTACCCGTTAGTGACTGAGCCCGTAGTTCTCTGGATCATTGTCTATTGAAAGCATTCCTAATCAGCTTTATGTCTTTCGATTTCCCGACTTTTTGCCGATTTCCCAACTTCTTTAAAGTTATAAATGCAAGCAGTTGCTGACATAATTGAAGTAGCTTATCTTTTTAGTTTTATGAAGAAAAACAGTGAGGAATAATGCCCTTAAATCAATGCACTTTACCTATCTTAAAACAACGACCGGAACTACAATGCCGTTTTAAATTGTCAGCAATATGCAGCAGATATTCAAAGATATTCTGGGGCGTAAATTAGAAAATACATTTGCGAGGAACATTCCATGCGTACCTAAGCTAGTACTTTCACCCTTATTGCTCGTCGAATAACGAGAAGAAGAAAGATATGTTTTTTCTATTTTGGCTACACGTTTGTCTTATAACGCATTAATACTGTGGTGTATATACCGTATGCAATGCCGTAAAACCGCGATGTAATACCGTAATACCGTAATGCAATACCGCAATAATGCATCTTTAACACCGTTATTAACTACCCATAATCGTTTTGATGAAGCCAACATCTTTTTACTTTTTACTGATTGTTCGACAAGAAATAAAGCTAAAAGTACTGTCTGATGTGAAATATTCCGGGACGTAGACAAGGATGTTACCAAGGGAAATATGCCCTCAGAGCCAAAAGCCTTACACTGGGTACTAAACGATTTTGTGGCAATGTGGTCCACATTCACAGGATTTCTGTGGAAATCTAAGATCTGGCCCCAGGGACGAAGATTTTGCCGTGTGCTAAAGAAATAGGATGAAAAATTTCGCGAAAAGTGCGTTGTTTTATGTCTACGGTGCGATGGAAAGTTTTTAAGAGGTACAAATATCCCCAACACGCGAACATGTTTTTAACACGGACTTCCATTGATAGCACATTCCCTTTAAAGATTTAGCCAGCTCAGTCACAGCTCAATGCAAATTCAGTGCACGACAGGAGCTGAAAACTTGCCTCTCCCAATGGGGACACAGAGGAGGATCAGCACAGCAGCAGTGTGCCACATCCATCGCCTTCGCCTTCGCCTGGATCGAGTGGATCCAGCTTATGCCCCAGCCGCTTTTGTCAGTCTAAACACATCACATCAGAGAATAGTTGGCTGCGCTTGGGGACGCACGCACTTTGGTGTTGGCGAAGACTTGGGGGGAGTATCTGAGCTGCGTGGTCCTCAATACGCGCCCGGGTGGCCGGCTAGATACCCTTCGCTCGGGTGGGGGTCAATTTGACCCCCTGAGAACTCGGGCACTAAGAGAGCTAGAGTCACCAAATTTATAGGGTGCGTTGACCTGTACGTGAACTCACTTAGGTCCCAGTTTCAAGTTCCTAAGTCATGTTCTTTGGGTCAAAAAAGGTTAAACAAGGTCAAGTTCCAGGCTGGTCTTCGAAGTGCACCCATAACATAGATAACCGTTTCTAAGCAAAGGGTCACATGCTCATTCAAGGCCAGTGACCTTTTTTGACCTTTTGAAGCTCAAGTTGACCAAAATCATGCAAGATTGCTTTGAGTATTGCATTTGACTAAGCGACAAAGATGATGCTATGCAGTATGTTCCTAAAACAAAATGTTGACCTGGGTCATTTTAGGTCAGTGTCCTATTCTGACCTCTAAAAAGTCTATGGCAGATGTATAATGCAGTTCCTGTTATCAATCAATTCGAAATGAGCACCAGAAACCATCCCATACAGCAAGTCGTAGAGTAACAAAACGGGTTGGTTTTGACCTTGTTGTGACTTTTATACCCGACCTTAGGTCAATTTAATTGGCTCATTCAACTGTTGTGTTGCCTAAGAAAGCATATCAGAGATGTATGGATTCGTCTAACACTCCGTTGTTAGATCAGATTGAAGGATTTCCTAGAAATTACCTTCGTTGAAACCATGGCCTGACTTTGACCTGCCATAGGTCAATGACCTTACAAGGTAAACCTAATTTTTTATGCCAAGCGACCCGCTGTTCAATTGTCTGCAACTACACAAAATTTGGCGCGGCTGCGCCGTGCTGTTCGGAAACCACTCTGGAAAAACCTTCGGGGTGTCGATTTGACCCCCACCCGAGCGCGTGTTAAGCATCGTGTCGCTTGCCTGATTTCGTCGCCACCGTAATAGTCACGTTTACCCTGTGAACATTTTCCTATAAGCAAACTGTGGGTTAAATATTCATGACTTCATCGTCCTGTGAAGCTTTTGTCACTGTAAAAGCACACGTTTCTACACTGATACGTTATATGACCAACAGTCTGGGTGAAAATATGCGCCGTGCTGCGGAAAACTTCCTTAACTGCGATAATGAAATTGCCGCCAGCACTGGGCAACGAAAATCTCACCACGTTGGGAGGACAAGGGGATGATAATTGTTTGACGATTTTTTCCCTGTCATTGCCCATAGAGCCATTGCTAACTTTTCAGAGATTTGGGCCGCTCAGTTCCCCCTCACCCACGGTTCCCGCGCCTCGTGCCTTGCGGTAGTGCAGCGCATGGCCCATGTGGAATTTGCAAAGCAGTGCTCATTTATGAGAACGCCTGTTATTAAACGCACGGCTTCTCACCCATCACCGTGCCGCTGGCCTCATGTGTCATTGGCGTCTTCATTGGCTCTGACTGCTGAGGTCTGATGTCGATCCTGGAAAACGCCTCGAAACTGTTGCACCTTGGTTTGCACACGATAACGCTAGGCAGCCGGCACACATCAACCCACAATTTGTAAACACAAGTGCACGCTTTCTCTAGCGTCAGAGTACGTCTCATGTCGCTGGGATGTCTGGTCACTGCGATCTGGACCTGACATACGTTCCTCATCTTTTTCCTGATTTTAAAATGCCTTGTTTCCCATGTTAATTGAATAGAAAGACAGAGTAGCAAATGTATCGTAGTGTTGCAGATTTGTGCTGCTGCAGCACAATATTAATGAAATGAACCACCTATTCCTGGAGATTTTGCCCCGTTACGATGGGTGCAAGCAACGCAATAACAATGAAGTAAAATATTAGCCGGTAAAAAGTGCGACGGCTCAGCCAGGTAGGGCCAGTCAACTGAAGCAGCACAATTTCCGGTCAGTGGATATTAGGAATCTTCTGTCTGCAGCCTCGCCCGTAGCAATGACGAAAAACCTACAAGGAATAGAGAGCTTCATGTTGTGAAAGTTTTTGAGAGCGCGGGAAAGCCTCAACGCACTGACCTAAACTTAGGTAAGTACGGTAGTAGTGATGTTGCTGGTGGTTGTTTGTTGTCGAATGAGTGCTTAAAAATGGCGGCAGCCTTGCCATTTTGCATTGTGAAATAGTTTGCTGCGGGATACCCGAGAATATGAGACTAAGTGAATAAATCGCCAATTACCAATTGCCAGTGCTTACTCGCCGATCTCCGGTCCCTTGTACCGCCGCCTATTTTCAGGGTGGTTTTATGACAACGACACGAAGGTGCCGAAGGCTTTGTGTTAGTCCGCTACATTTTTGTTCAAGGCATATTGTACTAACATGTGTGGTTGTGAACTGTGGAACACTGTGGAAGGAGAGCAAGCGTTTCAAGAGCTTTGTAGGCCTACCACTCATGTATAAAGAAGCTGCTAAGGGCGTCACGCTGTACAAGGAGCCATGACCTGTGTAAAGAGCTTGAGCTTCTTCCATGTCCCATGCTCGAAGCTAGTGGGCAGCTGATGTTCAGACAAAGACTCATGTCCAGTGAGAACAGCATTGCTTAGGCAGTGCATGCAAGCGAAGTAGGATTTAGTGGCATCATTACCAGGACACATGTGCATATCCGACATGAATACGATCCTACTACATTGGACCTCCTGGCAGTCAGCAGGTCAGATGTTTGGAACATCTTTATCGCCCACCCGGGCTGGTTGGTCTGTGATTGCCACCAAATGCACCAACTGGGTCATGACCCTGGATAAGATCCCCTAACCTGCCAAGAAAGTACTAAGTGTTACTTGAGACCGTGGTACCTGCTGTCTTGCTCTTTGCGTGCGTATTGTGATACAGTTACAGTATATTGTGATGTTGTAGTAGTATTGTGTACCTGTATGTGTCAAGATATGCGCCAACCGGGTGGTGCAAATAAGCTGCATTATTACTTTTATCATTTTTTAGGTCCATTGAGATCCACCATTGCACGCTTATTAGTAGTAGTGTCATATCAGTCCGGTTGCTTCAAGTCGTTTTATCCTGGCAGCACATTAACCTCAACGCTTCATTGTCTTTCCAGCTGACTGTAGCGACTGGAAATATGGTTCGGCGGTTTACCTTGGCGCCCGTGGGTCGCTGGAAGGGGTCGCTGGGTGCCGGTGTCGGACGTGTGAATGCGAACGGTGCCGGTAGGGTGTCATTACCAACGTGTTTTTGATATCTCTGCACAGTATCTGGTAAGACCAGGGGTGGAAAACACTTAAATACCTAATGTTGGATGGCCCGTTCCTTGCTGCTAGTAGTGTTGTGTTGCGAATGACATGCAAACGTGACGATTCCATTAACACTTGGGTAACGATATTGCTGGCTCCACCGAAGTACGGGTGGTGCACTCGTTCAGACTTTGATGGAATTGGGAAAATGAGGCCTTAGGATCCTTGTGTTTGACTTATTTGTTTTCAGCAGAAAAATCTTATTAAGATATATTCTCAACCAAAAAGATTCGCATCTGTATGAAATAATTGAAAAGTAGTCATTGTTAACATCTGTAATTTGAAGGTTAATGCATTTACAATGAACTTAACATATATGGTAGAGCATTACTTATAGTTTTATTCCTAGTGGGATAACCAGCAGCACAGTTTGAGCAATCTGGACCTGACTGACTACCAGTATTCATTTTGATAAATGTGTGTAGCTGAAATATCAGTAGATCTATCTCTCCATTCTCCTGGTTACTCTGTGCAGAATAAGGCTGCTACTACTGTCTAATCTATCTGTGTTACCACTTTTGTGCTTTGTATTTTACTGCAAGGCTTTTCCAGAATGTGCTGCTTTGCAAACAGCGATATGTTTGCCTCAAATGTATCTTTGCCAAGGTTGAAGCTCCATGAGCTTATGATATTGTGAGGGTGTATTTAAAGGAGCGGTTCTGGAGACAGCCATCCTGTAAAGATCAAATAGTTGTCCTGACAATCAGTATTGTCTGATTTTTTAGTATGTTCACATACTAATGCACAAGATGACTGTTGTAGTCTGAATAATTATCCTGTCTGTAATGCTAATACCCCATCTCAATCCTTCTATGAGATAGTTCTGCGTCTCAGGAATATTATCATCGACTATGTGTGTGAATTAAAGTGGGCGGTTATACAATTTGAGTAGATGCATGAAAAACATGTAGATTGAACATGTGTGGTATTGTTATATGCCATGCAGGGTATTAGATGTGCCTGTTTCATATTAAGGTTAGCATGCCACCTCATTTTATGGTAGGAAAAACACAAACAATGCTACATTGCCACTACCAGTAACAAGCATTAGTAACAAAACATGAAAAGCAGTTCATGTTATATGGCTGCCATTTATGCTTTCATATATATGGTGGTTTTTCATCTTAAAGTGTTTTCAACAGGTGAAGATCTACTTGGATCTGTGTTACCAATGAAATGATGACAAGCTGACTCATAACACTAAATCTGGGCCTGACAATCAGTGGCCTGCCACATCACATGATGCCATTGTGAATGGCCACATTACAATATGACCATTTTGAATGGCCAGTGTTTGTTTTTGGCATTGGAGCATAATGCCCTTATAGGTATAACACCTTCTTTAACCAGAGGTGACTGAAAAGGGTACATTTGGTGGCAGTTATTAATGCAATCAGTCACAAAGCAAAGCTTAGGCTTCTGCAGCTATCAGTTAACTGTGTCAGTGTCAGTATTCAAGGAAGAATGCTATTATCAGCACCACCCCATCCCCTGCTCTGAGACCAGTGCCGCTATGCTGGGATGCCCCTACCATTGACGTCGCCTCTGGCCAGGTTGGCGCCGGTGGCCGGCCGCGCCGCCAACCTGCAGGAAGATGGCCGACCGGCTGACGCAGCTTCAGGACGCTGTCAACGAGCTGGCCGAGCTCTTCTGCAACAGCGTGGGCATCCTGCAGCAGCAGGCAGTGCCCGGCCACTTCCCGGGCTTCGACCGCGGCGGCGGCCGCACGCCGCAGCAGGGACAGCCGGCCGAGGACTACGCCCAGCTGTTCGCCACGCTCATCGGCCGCAAAGTCAAGGACATTGACACGCTGATCGACTCGCTGCCCAGCGAAGACTCGTCCACCGAGCTGCAGGTGAGGCGGGACGGGCTCGCCGAGCCGCAGGGGGGGTAGGGCTCGTCCACTGAGGTAGGGTGGAGAAGGACACCTCCACCGAGTTGCAGGTGAGGCGGGATGGGCTCGTCGAGCCGTAGGGAGGGTAGGGCTCGTCCACTGAGGTAGGGTGGAGAAGGACACCTCTGCCGAGCAGCGGGTGAGGCGGGATGGGCTCGTCGAGCCGTAGGGAGGGTAGGGCTCGTCCACTGAGGTAGGGTGGAGAAGGACACCTCCAGCGAGCTGCAGGTGAGGCGGGACGGGCTCGTCGGGCCGTAGGGAGGGTAGGGCTCGTCCACTGAGGTAGGGTGAATGATGACGCCTCCACCGAGCTGCAGGTGAGGAGGGACGGGCTCGTCGGGCCGTAGGGAGGGCAGGGCTCGTCCACTGAGGTAGGGTGGAGAGGGACGCCTCCACCGAGCTGCAGGTGAGGCGGGACGGGTTCGTCGAGCCGTAGGGAGGGTAGGGCTCGTCCACTGAGGTAGGGTGAAGGGTGACGCCTCCACCGAGCTGCAGGTGAGGAGGGACGGGCTCGTCGAGCCGTAGGGAGTATAGGGCCCGTCCACTGAGGTAGGGTGGGGAAGGACACCTCCACCGAGCTGCAGGTGAGGCGGGACGGGCTCGTCGAGCCGTAGGGAGGGTAGGGCTCGTCCACTGAGGTAGGGTGAAGGGTGACGCCTCCACCGAGCTGCAGGGGGCTTAGAACTCGCCTACGGGAACAGGTTGACAGGAACCGTTTAGTAATTTTTGGCGACTTGGGCTGAGAAAAGATCGAACGTTGCGACCCACCGCCCAAGCTCCGGGCTGAATTAATGCGCATGTGCACATATAGCCATGAAGTTTTCATCGGTGCTGGTGATTGGTGTCGCTGTGTGGCAATGGTTGGCATGTTGGCGATCTCCTGGCTCCGTGTAATCCGCATTCACATGAATGATATCTTGCATTGTGCGGTGGCATTTTGTTCTCCGTGTTCTGGTTCGGCGGTCGGTGACGGTGCCGTGCCAGTTGCAGCTGTCGGCCCTCGAGCTGCTGGAGCGCGAGAACGAGGCGGCCGGCCAGCGGCTGCAGGAGGTGGTGGCGCGCGGCCAGCTGCTGCTGCAGAAGATCCAGGCAGCGCTGCACGACATCGCGCAGAGCCAACTGGAGACCCAGCTGCTGCTGTCCGGGCACCGACCGGACGGTTGACGAACGCCCGACGGCGCGCTCTGCGCCGGACTCAGCGCTGAGCGGCGGCGCTCGGCCGCTCCGGGGCTGGCGGCGCCGGGCGCACCGGACGCAGTCAGGGCGCGCCCGGCTGCCGCCCAGATCTCCCGGCGCGCAGACGAGGTGGAGGCGCGGACTGCGCCGGCGGACCTGCCGTTCGTCAGCGCAGTACGGACTGCTGGGAGCTGGCGGCGGGCGGTGGCAAGGATGCTCAGCCGCTGGCGGGCCTGCGGAAAGCGGACTTGGCCGAACTCGGCGGCCGACGACGGCGCATGCCCAGTAACGTGGCGTGGACGGGTGGAAAATGCTTCCGAGGAATGAACGATGGTCGTGGAACGGCGTCGGCCAGCCAGACCGCTAGCATGTCGGTCTGATTGGTCATCAGCTGTCATCGCCATCCCTGCGCTGCCGCTCATGTACGCCTTTGGTATGTGCTTTGTACCCAGCCAACACATATGGAGATGTGCTGTGTTGTGGTCTGCGATGTGTAATACACACGTGTGTCTCAAAGGCTCGTTTCAGCGCCATCGACATGCGCTATACAGGTGGTCGTTAAGTGACGTCAATTTTGCACTTCTCATGACTATGTTGTCATCTTTGTGAGCGATGCTAGTCGCTTGAAGTGTTTACAGCGTTGCTCACTGATGTCGACTGAATAAAACGTCATCGCATGCGTTTGAACAAAAGTGGAACGAGGTGGGGTTTAGAAGATAGTCTGAAAAATTGTCCTGTCTTGGGGCATACACGGTGTCTTGAAAAACTTAAATGCTCTGATTTTAACGTGTATCATTTACTGCGGACAACAGTAATGGAGTGGTTTACCAGAAGATGCGCACGAGATGCTGCCTTTTCATTCCAGTGACGGCGGCGGGGAAGGGTGCTGTCGGCAAGGGCATGTCGATAAAAAAGGCCGTTTGACTCTACATTTCGCCTTTTTTACATAGCGGGAAATAGACACGTATACCTGAACACCTATCGACTAAATGTGGTCGGCAAAAAGAAACCACTAAATGCGTTTCGGTTATTTACTCGGATGCCCATAGTTACAGGCCACATTTGGTCCACCGACGCATAGAGGGCAAGTCCAGATCCCTTTAGCTTCGTGGAATTAGTTCCGTGCTGTTTGGAATGCCGCCCAGCGATCGCTGCATGTAGTAATCTAATGACCCGTTGAGTGGTGGCGAAAATGTTCGTCGGTAGAATCCCATATGATAGTGCTGCGTCCATCCAGTCGGCGGTGGTGCGCTTGCCTGTAGTAAATCGTACTATTATGGCGGTAGCAAGCTCTCAGACGCTGTGAATGCGCGCTATAATGTATTTAGCTTCGCTGGGCAGGCGGCGATGCCATTCATCAATTTTGGATCGGTCATCAACGACACCTAAGAAGTGTCCAAGGCAACAGCTATTCGTTAGCACCAACGACGTCATTTCGGAGGCTACGGACTCCTCGAATACGTAAGGCACGTGTCAACTGATTCATACCATTGGCCTGATAAAAAACTTAACGAATTGAAGACTTCAAGCAAATGCAAAACAATGCGCAAAATAATATGACGCTAACAACGAAATCAATATGAAGAGAACGGGAAGATTGCGATCCATAATAACCGGCCCCAATGCTCATATTCTTACGTGACTGACGTGTACACAGGAGAAAGATAAATGTAGCCACTTCAACATGATTTATGCGCGTTTGTGACAGTGCCGCTCGTCTGACGTTACGTTCACAGTTGGCTCTAAACCAACGTGATTTTTGGCCTATAACGGTTCACGATGTTAAAGAAGAAGGGCAAAGGAAAGAAGAAAGGCAAAAAGAAAAACAAACAGCCCAAGAAAGATCCAAAGATCATTGTTCTTGAGTACCTGTGAGTAATGCAACTGGGCTATCATATTGAGGACCTGATTCGAGTCCCGGTTTGCTGCATATCCCCTATATCACACGTTAATGTATTAAAATTTTCGCTGTCACTCCAAGAAGGCTTTCACGGCGTGCGAAGCTCTCCTTAAAGTCAGTCGTTTTTTTTTAAAAAAAAGAACATGCCTATCACTCATACAGCGTCACTAAACTTCCGATTGACATATTTAAACCCAATAAGTGTTAAACCCGCTAGGCGCGCAGACTCTTCAGCCCAAAAAAACCATGCCATTTGTCTTTGCCACGTCACTCCTCGGTGTCACTGCAGTTGTCACTGCAGTGGCCTCGCCAGCCATCGGAGCGGCGGCGGGCAGCAGCGTGCTCAGCCCACGCACCGGCCCAGTGCCTTGATTCGCAGACTGGACTGTGGCCTGCGCAAGAGGGGACGCCTGACCGAAAACCGCGACGAGTGGCTGGCAGACAACCAAGAGCGACAGACCCAGGTACCTAGGTAATTACTGATCACCTGCCCGACATCTCGTCGCACTGTCATGCTTTGCCCAACAACGCGCCTCACCGCAACACACAAAAGTATCACCAGCGTGGCGAGGCCAGCCGCTGGGGTCAGGCCGACCATGTCACTGACGTAGCCTGACGTGACCTCGCTGCTGTGTGTTTGACCTGGGCCGCACGGCTGCAGGTGGACACGCTCCGGGTGGAGCTGGACGCCACCATCGGCTACCTGCGCCGTCAGGAGGGCATCGAGAAGAAGGCGTGCGAGGACGATCTGGCGGCGCGAGACCGCGAGCTCAGCGACACCGAGCGGCTGCTGCAGGACGAGCAGCGCACCTACGGCCGTAACGAGGCCGGTGAGCGGCTGGCGGACTGGGCGCGGCTGTAGAGCCACACACGGCGTCCGACTGACAGACTGCCTGACGGTGGACTGTTAGTGGTGTGCGGTTTACATGCGCAGCTGCAGGAGTTCGAGACCGGATGGAGTGGTAAACACTTTGTATTGAGCAGTTTTCAGCGCTGATAAGCACCGATTACTGCACATCACGAGCAGCCAGTGTCACTACACACGTGTCATGAACATTCGGGACCGTGCTAACGTGTCATGTGGTATGCCGAGCCTGCGACGACGTGCTCAACAGCGGTTGGCATCGGCCACCAATCAGCAAGTGCCGGCTAACTGAGAGCCGACTGTAGCTAGGCGCAATCAATGAAACACAGTCGTACGTGTATGCTCGAACGCGACCAAATCACTGCATTGGACCAAAACGTCCGCAGCAGAGCTTGCAGTCGTCCTGTCTGTCATGAAACTTACCCATGGCGTTAAACTTTCGCATTTACTATATGTTACGGGTGGGTACGTTCAAAGTTCCATGCATGATGACTGGCGCCGCCAACAGTGACCAAACATCTTGCTCTAGAGCTATCGGAGGAGCTGCGAGGCGTGGCGATTGAAGCGACCGACACGGAAGAACAAGTCAAGTTCTATAAGAATTATCCAGTCGTTCAAAACCTTGAGAAACGGGAGCAGATTAAAGTTCTGAAATCCGAAATTCGCCATGTGGATGAACTCCACGATGCATTCGAAGGTGACTGACAAATGTCCCGCTGATGACAAACACAAATGTTTTGCCATTCCGCACATGAAGCTCCCTGAGTGGGCTGTAAAAACCGGGTGGTTTTCCACTTATCAACTTTTTCACGGATACCACCACCCTTGACGTTGCGGATACGCCACCTGGATGTGACGGCGGCACAAGCCGCTGCGTCACACGCCCGCGCGCGTCCCACGTTATCCTCGCACATGATTAACCCACGCCGCCCGTGGGTCTAGCCCAGCTGGACGGCAACTTCCGCTACATGCAAGGCTTCCTGACCGGTCACCACTCGCATCACCTGGAGCAAGCCAAGCAGTCGGCGGCTCACTGGGCGCTGCAGACCATCTCGCTGAGCGACCACAGCGACCTGTCGGCGCAGGAGACGCTCTGCTTGGAGAGCGTGCTGACCAGCGTGCAGGGAGACGGGCTCCGCGACCAGCTCGACTGGATCGGTGAGTCGGCGGCTGCGGTCCGATCCATCCCCGACGGCGGCGGCCCAGGGCACCCGGGGGCCCCGCTCGATGTGTCGCTCCCGGCGGAGCGGTGTGCGGGGACCGGCAGGAGCGCCGGCTCCGACGCGTGGTTAATTTCACTGTGACGCGGACCGCCGCCGACGGCCGCGCTGCGCTACTCCAGGCGCCGCCTCAGCGTGCTCACGCCGCCGGCAGACGGGGACAACGCGGTGCTACAGAGAGAGCTGGTGCCACTGCGGCGGCCCGAGCCGGAGCCTGAGGTGGAGCCGGAGCGGGAGCCGGAGCCGGGGTCGGAGCCGGAGCCAGAGCCTGCGATCAGCGCGACCGCCTCTGACGCCAGCGACGGCAGCTGCCTGCCGCTCCGTCTCCACTTGGAGAGCATCATCGACCTGCTGGCGACGTCACGGCCGAGCGACGGGCAGCGCGCGCTCCTCGATCAGCTGCGCGACGAGACGCTGGCACAGCTATGGCCCGACGAGGACGAAGAGCGGGCGCGCGCGCTGGCGGAGCGCGCCGGCAGGCCCGGCCGCGAGCCGGCCGCCAGCGACGGCGGCACGGCCGAGTCCGACTCCGGCTCCGAGGACTCTAGACTCAGCCGAGACGAGCTGCTGCCGTTTGAGACGCCGCTGCAGGTGGGTGGAGGAGACTGAGACGGAGGCTGGCCGGCTGAGACCTGGTCGGGGTTTATTCCCGTGGCAAGTGCCGGACTGTCCGGCGCTGCAAGACCACCGACACTGCTCGCACCGTCCGTCTTTGCCACCAGCCCGCGGTTCCACATTAGTGCTACAGCAAGTATTTCTACCGATAGGAGTGCTGCGATGTTACCTCTACTTCCAATACTTTGGCACGACGTTAGTGCTACGCGACAAAACTCATGCTGTAGAAACGTATACTCGTCATTGCTCTTACTGCAAACACTTCTACAGTCAGTACTTCTATCGCAAAAACTTGTGCGCGACAAAAGTGCGACACTAAATACTTGTGGTCAAGTCCTTACTGTGGAAGTAATGACTGATCTATGTTTTTATTGCGTAGCATTCGTGTGGTGCATGCGTTTTGCAGAAGCAATAACGCGTATACGGAAGTGCTGTATAAGTTTTCGCAGTAGATGCAATGACGGTTACGTTTTTTGATGGGGTAAATTCTGTCGTGCAGCACTCACGTGTATAATTCTTCGCAGTAGAAGTAATGCTGCATCTGAGTAGTCTGCATACGCTTTAGCAGCAGAAGAAATGTCGCGTATAACTAATGCCGTGATACTCCTGTCGGTGGTTTTCCCCGGAGCACTCATGTCGTGACATCCCACCCCGCGGCGGGGGAGCCCAGGTCCGCCCGCCACCGTTCGTGACGTCGGCGTCCTCGGCAGGCGGCGACGGCCGACCGAGCCCGCCAGACGCTGCGGCCGTTCGAGCGGTTCGCAGCGCGCCGCCACTGGTGGCGCGTGCACCAGCCGGAGCCGAAGCCGCGCACGTGGCCCGTCAGCACGCCGCAGCTGACGCTGTACGCCGACCGGCCGCCCGTCTTCGACCTGGCCGGGCCCAAAGTGATCAACGAGAGTCCGTCTGTCTCGTCGGCGCATATCTCGGACGAGTGGGAGCTTTCGAAGGCCGACTGGCTGGACCACCTGCGCCGGCGCTCGGCGCTCACCGTCACGCCCGTCGACTCGGCCGAGGCAGTCGGCTCGCGACCGGACAGCGACGCCGCGCTGGTCGAGGTCGCCTCGGACAGCGCGGCCACAGTCAGCTCGTCCGGCAGCGCCGCCACGAGCGGTGGCTCGTCCAGAAGCGTTACTGCAAACGCCACCTCGTCGAAAAGTGTGGCTGAAAAGCCAGCGTCTTCCAAAAAAGTGATCGCAAAAGTCAGTTCGTTAAAGAATGGCACTGCAAAGGCTAGCTCGTCCAAAAATGTCAATGTTGACGTCAGGTCGTCCAAAAACTTGACTGGAAAAGCTAGCTCATCCAAAAATGTGACGGAAAAAGCTAGCTCATCCAAAAATGTGACTGAAAAAGCGAGCTCATCCAAAAATGTGACTGAAAAAGCTAGCTCATCCAAAAATGTGGCTGAAAAAGCGAGCTCATCCAAAAATGTGACTGAAAAAGCTAGTTCGTCGAACAACGTTTCTGGAAAGCCTAGCTCATCCAAGCACATATCTGACAAGACCAACTCATATAAGGACGTGTCCCTAAAGGCCGGTTCGCCCGCACACGAGACCACCGTATAGACTGTGGAAGACTCTGCTCCAGCCTGTTCGCCCATGCGCGCCGCGCCGGCGTGTCGATGGATGCCCCAGAGCGGCAGCGGTGCGCACCGCCCGACACCCGACCCAAGGCTGGCGACGGTCACGTGCGACGACCAAAATCACGGCCCTGTGCGAGTCAGTCTTCCCTTACTTAACCCACGCTGCTGTTGCCGGCGCATTCAATGCACAACCAGGCCGCTGTCCTCTTCCGCTCATGATCTGCATACACGCAACACGAGCTACTAAGTTTCTGAAACTCTTTTATCATTTCCAAAGCGAGAACCACACATACACGAATACATCGTCTGAACCACCCCTGTATTACAGGTCGTTACGGAACCATTGCACGTTTACGTGTACCTCACGTCAACACTTCATCAGGTAGCATCTGGTCGCGACTGCAATGGACTCCAAACATAAAACGTAACAAATTTACATTTCAGCTAGCATACAGCATTAATTGTCCCTGCGTGATACACACCGCGTGCGCAACGCGCCGGCTGTGGCAAGTATGGAAACCTCGGATCAGCGCTCCTGAGTAAACACGCAGAGCTGACCAAGTCACCCCGCTTTTCCCCCCCAGCGCGCTAACATACTAACCCACAGCAGATCCAGGCAGAGCTCTTTCAACCTTGTACTGCACGTACGACATCCTCCACCAACTACAAAACAACGCGCGACGATGGCATTGCGCTTCCAACCAAGGAACAAGCACGTTTCACGCCGCGCGGTTGCGGTTACGATTCCCATAATGCCGCTTACCGAACTATGATGAGCAGCGCTCAGCTGTGCCAGGCATCCGTTATCACTTCACCGCGGCAA